ACTACACAACATACATATACAGTACAGTGGTCCCTCTGTTAAAGAACGGTTCGATTAATGAAATTTCGGTTAACGAATTACCTCCCATAAGGATCTTCAATTTGGTTAACGAACAAAACTTTGATTAACGAAATCCTTACGAAAAACACGTACTTTTGTGAGCATCAGCTGATGGGCTAGTCTGCCAATTCTGTAATCTGTTCTATGTTTACATTCGTTTCCAGTTGAGTAAATATCAAGAAAGTTGTGCTCATAAATATTTTTGCATTTTTTTTTATTGAAATTATTAGTCATATTAAAATTTAGTTAACATATTGATAATATGTGCAGTACAGGGAACTAGTTTTTTGTGCGCCCATCAGTCGCTTGACTAACCCATCAGGCGTCAGTTTGGCTTTGTTTACAGTGGAGTGAACATCGATTTTGTTGGTGTCTTGAATATTTTTGCATTTTTACATTAAAATTTTTTTAACATATTGATGATATATAGCACAGTGCAGTGTTGATTTAAATAAAATAATCTTGAATTACACCTAGTGAACTTAAAATTTTATTGGTGAAATTACTGCATCAAGCATGGGTCCCCTGAAAGGTGATTTATCCTCCATCCCCACATCCTTCTCTTCTCCCTTCTCCTCCACCCCAACTTCTGTTTTAGTCTTGGGGCTGAGATGGAAGACATCCTCATGGTAATTTGGTTCCGAATGTGAGGATTATAGTTTTGCTAAATATTATTTGGCTTTCAGGACTGAGTGGGTTTCGAGACCTTTCTGTGTTCTGAAATCTTAAATAGTTTGGGGAAGTAATTCTGGTCTTAATAAAATGTAAGATTTTCTGGTGTTGGTTTGGGAATAACAACATTGAATAGAAGAGATGGATTAGATCTCTCTTGTCTAGTGGGTGGCTATTAGATAAACACGGTAGCTAAATAAAGGATGTCATCTGGTATGTTTCTTTTCATATGTACTGTATTAGGAATTTCCTAGCCTTCAGTTTAGGGGAAAGCCCATCACTAATTCAGGGTCCTTGTGGGGAGAAAGTGCCTCTGAGAATCTTCACTGAACATTCAGGAAAGTGGTAGAGACACTAAGATTCATTTGTGTACTGCAGTGTATTATGGACCCATCTTTAAAAGCAGGTAAAGTAACACTGTACTGTATATGAAGAGTGATTCAGGCTTTAGCACAAGCTGATTTTTACTAAACAAGGTGAGTTCAATATTATCTTTCAAGCACAATTTTTATTTGGTAGTTCTTCATTGTACCCAAGGAATGAGAGAACTGAAATTCCTTGATTGTCCTAGGGAGATCCACTCTCTGTCTGAAGGAAAGTGTCTTGCAAGAGTATGAGGAAATACAGTGTGAGGTGACTTTGTGAATCTTTCCAGCCCTAGTATAGATTTAGGGACTCCATTTAAGTAACTCCTGGATTTGAGAATAATACTTAGGCTTAGGAAAGAAAGTTAGTTTCCTATAAAGATTTGTTTTTATACAATGATTGGGTTTCATTCCTGTCATTGTGATTCAATAAAATTTTGTATGAGGATGATAGAAGTATGTATTATTTAATGTCTATGTTACTGGTTATGGAGCCAAGGTTTAAATACAAAAATCCAATTCTAAAAGAAACGGGAAAGATTTTTTAACTGACTTTTCTGCTTTTGTGATTAGTTGTCTTGAATTGAATGTATGATATGTACAGTCACGTTCAAGATTCTTCGAACAGTACTGAAGACAGCTGGCAACTCGAGGCCGTTTGTTTACTATACTACGTAGTAAAAATTATGAATGAATGTAAAAGTGATCGGTGATTGGTTACTTAGTTCCCCGTTGCTTAATTAATGGTTGGGCTTTGTTGTTTCGCATTATATTATGCCTTTCTGCGAGTATATACTGTTAATTTGATTTTAAAATGGATAGAGCAATGAGCCATCCTATATGAATTTATATTTAGATAAATAAACATAAGTAAAAATCGGTAAGTATGTTAAAGAACATCATGCATCAGGCACAGCTGTGTGCAGGCTGTTTATGAGGTTGCCTGTTTGTCATTAATTTATACTAATAGTGTCTTCAAACGTTTAATCCCTTTTGGGTAATTAATCGAGTTGTATCTAGCCGATGCTAAACAAAACTTCTTTCTAAAGACGCTGATTTCTTGCAACACAAACTGCTGTTTTACTTCCCTGTGTGCGCATGTGGAGTGTGTGTGTGTGTGTGTGTGCATGCATGCATGCATGTGGAGTGTGTGTGTGTGTGTGTGTGCATGCATGTGGAGTGTGTGTGTGTGTGTGTGTGTCAGTCTGTGTCTATTTAATAATGACGTTGTTCAATTGAGTGTGATGGTAATTAATCTTACGAACCATCCGTCTGATGGTGTGAATTAGTACTGTAGCATATGCCTAATACTTTTACAAGCCATTATCTAGCAATATCATTGTCATTCCAAGACTATGAATAATGCAAGCAGCAAATGGCATTTCTTTCGTTGAGTTATTTTGCCCCAATCCTTGTTTCTGACTTGCGTCGATTATGTCACGTTTAGTCTGGTGTCTTTAAAAAAAAATATTAAATTTTTTCCAAAAATGTGTATGATGTATTATAAAATTTGTATCTTATTTATTTATTTATTCGTTTATTTTTTTATAAATGCATAATAAATATAAATATAACACTGACGTTATTGGCGGGAAGGTGGGGGAGACAGAGGTGTTGTCAGTGCTAACTACCATTCCACTCCCTCAATTGTAGAAGGACCCTGCCAACATGGAATACCACATGCAGCTTTAGTATCAGTCCGCCAATACATTAATCGGTTCTAGGGCTTAAATTCCTAACTATTTTAATAAATATCAAGAAGTTTATACTATTCAATAATTTTAAAAGTTTAATATTCAATTGTTTAGTCATTTTAATAATTATTGAACATAATTGAAGGTAAAGTGACTAGTTTAAAGCGCAGCATCCAGCCTCTTAACACAGCAAACAGGCGTTAGTCTCTCTGTTTTCACTGGAGGTAACATCTTGCTTGAGACTCTCTTCAACTAAACGCTTTTTTTCTGTTTCCAAGCAAATTATTGGTCATTTTGAAATATATTTTACATATTGACAATATATAATGCAGTACAGTGTTGATTTAAAGAAAATAATCTTGAAATACACCAAGAGAACTAAAATTTTATGGGTGAAATGGTGCCATGGGGTGACTTCTCTTCCACCCCAATGCCTTCTCTTCTTCCTTCTCCTCCACCCCCATTGTAATTCCCATCATCATCATCATCATCCAGGAGCCTTCTACATACACACCTCAAAGTAAGTGAACTTTTCTACCATTTTTGTTGAATTTAGGAAATTTTCGGTGAGCTGGAACCAATTACCCAAAAACCCATTGAAACAATGGTTTCGGTTAACAAACTTTTCGGTTAACGAACCACCTTCTGGAACGGATTGAGTTAGTTAACCGAGGGGTCACTGTGTGTATATATATATATATACTATATATATATATATATATATATATATATATATATATATATATATATATATATATATATATATATATATATATATATATATATATATATATATATATATATATATATATATATATATATATATATATGTCAGATTCATGTGGATAATGTCACTGTTTACTGCCATGCAGGACAGAGGTTCGTATACAAAGAAAGAAAGAAATATACATCATATTCATGAGCAGTATATATAGGTCAGTGGTTCACATACATTAGACGTCATATTCTAATTGAAGACAAATCAGTGTGGGCTAGCAAATTTGGGATAAACAGCAAGAATGTCCTCAAGCACCCCCGATTCAATGTAGTAATTACAAAGGTCAACCACGGAAAAAAATGAGAGAGGGAGACGGAGACAAAGAAACAACTGTATAACGACACAATTCCTACAATATGTAATGGTCCGATCACAGCTGTCCGATCCGGCTCTTGAAGGCACCTAACCTAACTTAACCTAACCTAACCTAACCTAACCTAACGTCAGCGTTATATTTATATTGATTATGCATTTATAAAAAATAAACGAATAAATAAATGAATAAGATACAAATTTATAATACACTACACATTTTTGGAAAAAATTGAATATATTTTTTTAAGGACACCAGACTAAACGTGACGTAATCCACAAAAGTCAGAAACAAGGATGGGGGGGGGAAAAAGAGTCACTCAGAAAGAAATGCCATTTGCTGCTTGCATTATTCATAGTCTTGGAATGACAATGATATTGCTAGATAATGGCTTGTAAAAGTATTAGGCATATGCTACAGTACTAATTCACACCATCAGACGGATGGTTCGTAAGATTAATTACCATCACCCTCAATTGAACAACGTCATTATTAAATAGACACAGACTGACACACACACACTCCACATGCACACACACACACACACACACACACACTCCACATACACACACACTCCACATGCACTCACACACACACACACACAGGGAAGTAAAACAGCAGTTTGTGTTGCAAGAAATCAGCGTCTTTAGAAAGAAGTTTTGTTTAGCATCGGCTAGATACAACTCGATTAATTACCCAAAAGGGATTAAACGTTTGAAGACAATATTAGTATAAATTAATGATAAACAGGCAACCTCATAAACAGCCTGCACACAGCTGTGCCTGATGCATGATGTTCTTTAACATACTTACCGATTTTTACTTATGTTTATTTATCTAAATATAAATTCATATAGGATGGCTCATTGCTCTATCCATTTTAAAATCAAATTAACAGTATATACTCGCAGAAAGGCATAATATAATGCGAAACAACAAAGCCCAACCATTAATTAAGCAACGGGGAACTGAGTAACCAATCACCGATCACTTTTACATTCATTCATAATTTTTCCTACGTAGTATAGTAAACAAACGGCCTCGAGTTGCCAGCTGTCTCCAGCAGTGTTCGAAGAATCTTGAACGTGACTGTACATGAAATCTTTTCTTTATTTCAGGAATAAAGCAGAGTTAAGATGGTTAGCATTCCGCATAAAGTGCGTGTATGCATAGTAGGAGCCGGTGTATCAGGACTTGGGGCAGCACAGAGGTTAATTAAGTGTGGAATAGTTGACCTGGTTATTCTCGAAGCACAAGATAGAGTTGGTGGTAGAGTTCACACTGTAGAATATGGTGGGTATCTACGAAGTAATTACTGGTGTACTTTTCATTACCTGTACTGTACTTTCCTGTATATGTAGTGAACATTGAATAATGTAAGATTTATTCATGTGGTACAGTCAGACCATAAATTATTTTTACCCCTGGGCTTGATGGATTTAAAAATAAACGCCACCTCTCCTGTTGTCTCGTTAGGTTGGTAAGCTTGATTGTTACGTCATTTCCTTTTTCTTGTTTTTCAATATATTCAAATCATATTTTTAAACATACCCCAGAACAATATACTGTATTGAGTTCAACTCCAAACAGGGCAAATTCCACTTTTAAAAGTTAAAAAAAAAAAAAGATTTTTTTTCAAAGGGTTTTTTTTATTATAAATTATCAGGAGTGAAGTTTTTCTTTGTAATAAGGTTTGTTATGCTTGTGAACAATAATAAAGTCAATGACATAGTAAACTCCTGTTATGACCTGGCCACTCACTATGAAGACTTCTGTTATGACCTGGCCACTCACTATGAAGACTTCTGAAACAATGGGCAAGGAGCGACTTAATTGAGGTGTACAGTATAAGCATCTCAAGGGGCACTACTCAGTTGAGTGTCCTTACTTGGAGCTGGCAGACGCTCGCCCCACAAGGGGTCACAGCTCAAGATTGAAGAAGCCGCAAGTCCAGAAAACTGTGAGGGCAAACTTTTTCGGAGTGAGGGTTGTGAACTCTTGGAACAATCTACCAGAAAGTGATGTGACGGCACTGAGTGTGAGCTCTTTCAATACAAGACTTGACCAACACTGGAGCAGGTTCAGGTACATTCAGGAGTCGGTGCATGCCCAGTACTTGCCAACAGTGTGTGACAGAGACTTGACCGACCGCCCAAACGGCTAACGAGCCGATCAATGGTAAAGAGGATAAAAGTAAAAGTAATAACAAGAGCAGCTGTAATAACCTTTCAATCTTGGTCTTGGCAATTGTTAACTTGTTAGGCAGGTAGGCAACTAAAGATGCACAATATTGTCATCAGCTCCCTGTAGTTTAATTTTGATGACAGTACAATACAGTCCAGTCCAGTACAGTATTTTCATTTCACTTCGTGTCACAATAATCACACTAATATGTAATGCTTATTTATTTAAACATTCACTAAAATTTAATATTTGTTGTTTCGTAATATCACCGAGTCAAAATGACAAAACATTAACACTGCTGATATAATAATAAACAAGCATTGAAATAATAGTTCTTCATATTACCATAATAAATTAACAAGTCCACAGTGTTTTCAGGACATGCTTTTACTTTTTTACATTTGATATGCATTCTTCAATTTACATTAAACTTTGCTATTTTAGGATTATACAGAAAAAAAATTATCATCATTATATCAAGTGACAGCAATAGTGTCACTGGTAGCACCACACATTCCCATATAAGGAGAGCAGGGCTACCCATGTGAAGCCAGATGCGAGAGCTTTGTACAAAAAATTTTCTGGTTCGTCATACTGTATTGCTTGACACCAAAGGGATAAAAGTACAATAATTTATGGTCTGACTGTACATAATCCTAAGATTGTTCTTATTCCTAATAGTACATTATGAATTATAATACTTGTGCATCATTGGAAACTTAGTGAATATAAGGAGACTAACAGAGTTTTTTAAATTTTAGAGACTACATTCATATTAAATACTGTACGTAACAAATATGGTATGAAGCCTTTTATTGCTTCTTGCTGCTCATAAAAATTAATTTTAGATTCATCAGCTAGAAATAAGGTTTTCTGAGAAACTTTTTATTTCAGGGGAACATCACCTAGAGATGGGGGCTCAGTGGATCCATGGTGAAGAGGGCAATGTAGTATATGACTTTGCCTCAGAGAATGACCTGATTGATGATGAACTATCCTTAATTCAAACAGGTATGGGTTTAATGGTTATGAGATGTACCTTATTTACATAATGCCATCCCACTAGAGGTGGCCATGTTGGGGGAAGGAGGCCAGTGGCCTGTGTATGATTCCACCACTTTTTTTGATAATTTTGTCTAGGGCTGTTTTGAAGCCCTGTTTTGAATCACCTTTCGTGATTCCAGAGTTTGGGCTAGTAGACCGTTTCATAGGTCTACCAGCCTCTGTATGAAGAAGTATTTCCTTATGCTCATTCTGCATGATAACTGGGCGAGCTTATGGTAGTTATGTTCACTCACGTTGGTGGTGCATGACATTACAAAGAAGTGGCTGTGGTTCACGTTTTCCACTCTTTTCAGGGTTTTAAATATTTGAATGAGATCTGTCTTATTGTACCTTGTCTGAAGGGTTGTCATTCCTAAGGCCCTCAGTCTACTTGGTGTCAGTTGAGTGAGAGCCCCTAAAGCCTGACTGGTAGCTGTTCAAATATTATACTCCCTGAGATATGTTTCCACCTGAACGTACACTGTTCTTTATAGAATTTTAGATACAATACACAGTATACTGACTGGCCGGGTCCTTTCTGCACGGTAAGTCACATGCGGTGGAGAGGGGGAATGGTCGACTTGGGAGAAAAGTGGTCTGATACTTTGGTATGGTACTGTATAAATAATTCTCCTGAAAACAAAATTGATCAGATTGTTAGACAATGCAATAACAAACCTAATCGCATGTTTATTGCAGGTACGGGAAACACGATCTTTGTGAGGCATAATGGTGAAATAGTGCCCGAGGAAGTGCAAGAAGAGTTCTCCCTGGTTACAGCTAACCTTTCTGAAAGTTCAGAAAAGGATTTTCATACTTACCCACATTCTAGTGGACAGTACTTTACAGAAAAGTGAGTGTTGAAGTGTTCTAAGTATAAACATTTAGAAAATAAATTATTCATCAGGCTTTACTTGCAGTAACTCTTTCTCTTTACTTCAGTTATTTTGGTGCAAATAAGAAATTTACCTTTTCAGAAAGGAAGTAGATATTGGTGTAAACTCTATAATGTGGCTCGCCTTGAAAACCAGCTAACCACTGGCAGATTCAACTAACTAGCACCAAAATGAAATAATAATAATAAAATTAAAGAATCCTAGAAATTCAGCTAGATTCGGAAGTTTGAATACAGTACCATGCACAACTGGGATGAGCTGTCATTTATTGCTATGATAAATAATACTAAAGTTGATATGTAACATGCAATAAAATAGCACATATTTTATGTAAAAAAGAAATACAGTAGTTCTTTCCACACTCAAACTATCCTCTGGGCAATATGACACAGTTCAGGCAGTCAACAGGTGACTCATGGACTTGTAGCTGATGGCGTGACATTACATTGGGAGGGAGCGCGGCCAAGCAGTTTTAGCCCAATAACCCATGCCTCAACACATTCACTTCCCATAAATACACACACCCATGTTCTCATTTTTTTATTTAAGTTTGTAATATATTCTCTTTATTTCTAAGCCACATTAAAGTATTGCAATGATTTTTCAACAACTTTTATAACAATAAACGCTGTGGCTGGGCTGGTGAGTCAGCAACGTAGTTATCGCCCACCGCCTCCATACACGTACAGTTCCCACACATACTCTTCATTTTTCTTATTTTACAAATTAGTTTTATTTTATATTTTCTTTATTTCTAGACCGCATCATTTATATAGAGTGGAATAAATGTTAAAGAACGATTTTCCGAGACGCCTTGACTGCCACAAAATAATCTATTTATAATTACTGTGCAAATAAAATTATTTTCTGAATGGTCATACTGTACAGTAGTTCAAAAGTAAATACAGTAGAAGTCCAAAAATCCGGACTGCTTGGGGATTGGGTTGGTCCGGATTTTCGGATTTTCCGGATTCTCAGGCAGTACTTTTAAAATTCAAATTTAAGGAGGAATAAAGAAGAGATGAACAGGTACATTTTGATAGTTTATTCATTAGCAAATATAGCATGCTTCATTTATCAAAACGAGCAGTTTTAATGAAAAAGCTGTGAATTCTAGAATTTTATTCTTTGCCATTTTTATATCATAAATTGAATACTTTCCAATGTCGTATGTTTCCATTAGAACAGTATTGCTCACACCACGTTCTAGTTTCTTAATTATTTTAAGTTTGTCACTCAATTTCAACGTGTTCTTCTTTCTCTTCACACAACGAAGTTTATCTACTTGAGGAGCCATTATTATGGGCTTGTACAGTACTCTGTAAATGGAAAGAGTAGGACTCAAAATATTGTTATATTATAATGGTATTCTATTCATACTGTGCTTGATATAATGCATTCACGGAAATGTAATATTTTTGCTGAAATGACAAACGTATTACAGTGGAAAGTTTGTTTACAGGTTCAGAGGAAGGAACATCTTGTGTGAGACTCTTCAACATTAACGCTTCTTTTCTGTGTTTCCAGTCAAATTATTGGTAATTTTGAAATATATTTTACATATTGATAATATATACCGTAGCGCAGTGCAGTATTGATTTAAAGAAAATAATCTTGAATTACACCAAGTGAACTAAAATTTTATCGGTAAAATGGCGGCATGGGGTGACTTCTCTTCCACCCCAATGCCTTCTCTTCTTCCTTCTCCTCCACCCCCATTCTAATTCCCATAATCATCATCATCAACCAGGAGCCTTCTACATACACACCTCAAAGTAAGTGTACTTTACTGCATTTATTTTTCGTTTGTATGTAATTTTCGGTGAGCTGGAACCAATTACCCAAAACCCATTGAAACAATGGTTTCGGCTAACGAATTTTTCGGTTAACCAGCAACCTTCTGGAACGAATTTTGCTCGTTAACCGAGGGGCCACTGTATTGACAAAAGCGGCAATTGTATCAACACAAGAATTGCTTTTGCCATTATTATGATAGAGTACCCAATCAGAAAGTCAGGCAACCAGCAAGGGCTAGATCCCATGCATCCTGGATTATTGAGGTTGCATCTGTAACACAGAAAACTTATAAGGATATTGTTACTCTGTAGCTTTCATGGTATGGGATTATAGAAATTATTGATGTGATATTAATTGAAGTGAAGTTGCATGCTTATAAAAGTAGAGTTTTATGAAGGAGTAAGAGATGTCATGGCTAACTTTTAGAGGGAATTCTCCTTTGATCACTTGCTGAATAATGGGAAAGGGTTTACTGTAGTAATCATAAGACAATTACAATAAAATTTGTTGATTCTTAGTAACAACTTTATGGTAAAGCTTACCAGGAAATAAAAATTTGAGTTTTAATATGTGATCCACCAATTAGATTCTGTACATTACAGTTTTCCACAGATTCAAGACAGAGAACAAATGGGGAACCCTTGGAGAAGAGCTCCTGAATTGGTATGGACGTTTTCAGAATTGCATTGATGGCTCTGACAGTTGGTTTGATATATCAGCAAAGGAACAGAACAATTACAAGGAATGTCCTGGAAATATTTCTGTCAACTGGAAACAAAAGGGATACAAAAACTTACTTCTACATTTACAGGTGCTAGAAAATGTGAATTACAGTACAGTACCGTGGTTTTTATCTTGTCAGTGGAGTAAAACAATGTATGGTACTGTACTGTACAGTTAAATGTATGGTACTGTACTGCACAGTTAAACAATGTATGGTACTGTACTGTACAGTTAAATGTATGGTACTGTACTGCACAGTTAAACAATGTATGGTACTGTACTGTACAGTTAAATGTATGGTACTGTACAGTTAAATGTATAATACTGTACTGTACAGTTAAATGTATGGTACTGTACTGTACAGTTAAACAATGTATGGTACTGTACTGTACAGTTAAACTATGTATGGTACTGTACAGTTAATGTACTGTAATGTACAGTTAATCTTCTGTAATGCACAGTCGGCAAAAAAAAAGTTTCTAAACCCCATGGTTCAGTGGCACCGAAACTGAGCACTAACCAGATACATTGATGTATCAGATTGGTTGGTACCATTGAGTACTGTATCATATGTAATTATAGTCAGCCATTGAGGAGCAGGCCTGCCAGGACAGGATAACCACAAAAATATGTTGTAAGTCTTTGCCTGATGTTTCAGATTGTTGCACATAGCGGGGTAGATACTTTATTTTACTGACTATGTAGATAATGAGCAATCTACTTTTTCCTTGTTTTCTATGTTATTCATTCATTCATTGTACTGTAGTTAAAATTCTGTAGTATGTCTAATATTATTGGATCTTCCATAATAGGATATTTAATGAGTTAGCTGTGCATGTAAATACAGTAAGTCCTCATTTAATGTTGTCCCAGAGAACGTTGTTTTGTTATAACGTCACTATTTAGATACCCATGATTCCGACAACTTCCCGACCGATTCGTTATAACGTTGTCACCCAACACGGACTACTTTGTGTGGCGCATCACCCTCTCTTATCTTGGCGCGCTACACTCTAACGCAGATTGTCACAGCGTCCCCAGTCTTTGTTAGCCTTCCATAGTGTATGTGCTTGCTTAAGTGTTTTTGTTATAAATACTGTACTGTAACCATTCGAACTGGTTTCCAAGCGCCCATCAAGTGTTAGTGTTGTGAAGAAGCAACGCAAGACAATTAGCCTTGTTACGAAAATGGATGTGGAACTCAAGTTTGAGTGGGAAGGGGAGCCCCCCTCCGGGTCTCTGTAACTCACCACCCTCCTCCTCCTCCACCCTCCTCCTCCTCCACCCTCCTCCTCCTACCCACCACACACTTGCTCCACCTCTGCCCATCAGTGAGTGCAATACAAAATGATTTAGTTTATCTTTTTGGATGTATAATATATATTTTCTATAAAAATTTAATTGATTTTATGAATTTAATGGGACAAAGGGAGGCTGGGGAACATAACTAGCGTATTTTATCTATTTCTTATGGGGAAAATGTATTCCGTTAATGTTGTTTCCGTTAACGTCGTGTTTTCCAAGAACTTAACCATGACGTTAAGCGAGGACTTGCCTTAATCCTTTTGTAAGATGGTAGTTTTCTTAATGCTTACGGTGGTCTTTGTTGAGTAATCTGTAAAACCTAGCACCATTAAACACCTTTTAGAGCTTACTATTATCAGAAAACTTGTAGAGTTTAGTGGCATGAAAAATTTTCATGTGGATAATGCTATTTCTTCAAGCTGCTATTCAAGTCATTTGAATGAAGCTTCTGAAGCTTTTATGAGGAAAATTCAACATTTGACCAGCGAGGTGTCCATATTACAAATTAAAACTCTGTCACCTCCATGTATCATGATCTATCTCTATCTTACAAAGGTTTCTAACTCCAATCCCCCTTTGTTCTTGCTAATGGAGACAGGCAACAATGTCTGTGTTTTCCTGATGGGTAATGCAAGAAGATAAGTACTCTACTGTATTACTAACACTATTATATCCAGATACATTATTATTACTTGGCTTCAGTTCTTACCACACAGACTATAAAGAATTTAGATTATTTAATAATAAAAGTGAAGAGTGTTTTACTTATGTAGGTAGTTTACCAGTTTATTACCTATTCCATTACAGTTCATCATTATCTTTGTTTTATGACCATTTTCCATGTTTGTGTGGGTTACCCTTGATTACCAAAAGACAGTCTGTATCTTAGGTCTGTACTGTACTGTACATCCAGGATATATTCTTGACGGGTGACCTTCTTTTTTCCTTTCCTAAACTGGCTTAAAAACTTATGGCAATTGAGGTTTGTTTGAAGCAATAGCATTATCCACATAGATGATGATTCGTGTTACTACAGTAAATAGTACAGTATAAGTTTTCTAGTAATGTTAGGCTCGACCAGGAATGTTTGGTGGTGGAAGATCTTACAGGTCACCCATTTCATCTGCATGGTATAAAACCGATTTTTACATTAACTGTTTATGCATAGTATTTTTGTTGCAATGCCTGTTATTTTTTTTAAAACTCATTATTTTTTTCTCCAAATTCCAGGAGACTGTACCATCATCTTGCTTGTTCCTAAATTCCCCCGTCAAATCCATTGATTGGGGGATATGTACCTCGGCCTCTACATCTGGTTGTAAAGTTACCTTAACATCGGATCAGGTCATTCAGGCTGACCATATCATCTTCACCCCTTCTCTTGGCTTTCTGAAGGCTATGGCAAAGGAGGTCTTTAATCCTCCATTACCTAGGACAAAAGTGGATGCTATTCAAGTGAGTTTTGTTGTTTTCATTGCAGGGTTTAAAGTTACTTTGAAAATTCATGTTACTTGGTTGGATTTGGTTGGTATTGTAAGTTTTACTGTGATACTTGAATGCTAGAAATTTGGAATGCTTGGAACGAAAAGGCTTTTGATTTATCTACTCATGGAACCCCTGTATGTACTGTATAGTACAGTGATATCACCATTAGTCGGAACAGTTGCTGCAGAGCTCTTCCGGGATGAGGGATTTATTGATAATGAAAACTCCCCAACCAGAAAAATCCCACATCCACGGAATTTTTCCGGGTACCGTACGTATTGGGAAAAGTTACGAGAGTCTAAACTAGGCATCTTGCACGGACAGACGCTAGCTCACATTGCCGGAATGTTTCTGGGTGCTAATTTTTCAGAGTAAGAGTCTAAACTATGCATCTCATCATTTCATCTCGCAAGGAAAACACACTACCATTACATTTAGACGGCAGGCACGAGTGAAAATATTTACGACTAGCATAAAAGGTGTATAAACTTTTATTCGCGGCATTAATTCTAATTTTGTTAGAGAAATGATTTGATACCATAATATTCCTAAATAAATTCTCTTCAAGACTGTTCCAATAAAAGATCCTTAAATATAATGGGGCTTAGATATCTTTTATGAAAAACTTTAAAAATGTTGGTACTGGAGTCAATAAAATAATTTCTAATTAAGTTAGAAACACCTTTTACCCAAATCATTCTGAATAGTTAAACTAAAAGTTTGGTTCAATAAATATTTAAAAAAAAATAAAAATCTATATGATACAGGCCATCAAATGAAGGTATTTTTGATGCCCCAGGAAATGTATTTATGGTTATTGAGAAAGTGTACAGGGGTCCCTGGTTTACGGACAAGTTCTATTATCATTTATATCGGGTATTTGTAGATTTAAAAGTAAATGTTTCAGGTATGACATTAATAGATAATTATGCTTGTAAGAGTTCAGAAATGGTTACTGCTTAGCTCTTGTAGAGTTGGGTGTCTGCAGTATGGATGTTAATCGTCTCAGGTTATCATCATCAGTACAATAGTTTTAATTCCAGTTTTTATATTTACAATAATATTTTTTAATTAATTATAAATAATACAGCATTATGTTCAAGTAAGCAATAACATAATTTTAATTCTAGAGTTGGATTAGGTTGAATTTAGCCTACTGGAGACAGCAACTGGGGGATTTATTAGCTTACCGGAGACTGCCACTTCACATACAGGATACAGGCCGCTTGCTATAATTTGTATTTTTGGAACTAATTTATAATTTTTTTGGAATTATTCAAATTTTCATATATTATATAGAATTAATGCATAATGTAGCATTGGTAATTTATTTATAAGCAGTTAATTCTGTGTTATACTTATATTAAAATATATTTGTAATCTGTCTTGCTTTTGTTATATAAACCAGTATTTCTTTGAGAAAAAATATTGAAGTTTTTAGTACTTATTTTTACCAGTTTATTCATAATATTCAGGCAATTTTAATGGCATATACAAAAAGATTATCACAACCACTTACGAAATAATAAAAAAATGGTGAAAATATCACTTTCATAGACTTATCGTGAATGAATCTGAAATCATAGGCGGTGCTCAGAGGGTTAAGGCTGAAGTTCCCAGGCATGAAAATTATGGCCCTGAAGCGTGGGTTTTTGACTCCCGAAACATTCTGGTTGTACAGACTTGCTCGATTGAGGCTTGATTTGGAAATGGAATCATCGGGATTACTTTTTTCCATTATGTATCTCATCCTGTCAAAACCATACTACCTAACCATATGTTCCTCTTTTTTCCAGATACAGTATATAAATAATTTTCTGTTCCAGGGCTTAGGCTTTGGTGTAGTGGATAAGGTGTACATAAAGTTTCCTCATCGATGGTGGGATGAAAGTTGTGATGGCTTCAGCTTCTTACACGACCTTAAAGAAGTACCAGATAGCATAACTAAAGAGGTAGTGTATCCCTGAGCTGTTTAATATTTACCCCTTCAAGTGTATCCCTGAGCTGTTTAATATTTACCCCTTCAAGTGTATCCCTGAGCTGTTTAATATTTACCCCTTCAAGTGTATCCCTGAGCTGTTTAATATTTACCTCTTCAAGTGTATCCCTGAGCTGTTTAATATTTACCCCTTCAAGTGTATCCCTGAGCTGTTTAATATTTACCCCTTCAAGTGTATCCCTGAGCTGTTTAATATTTACCCCTTCAAGTGTATCCCTGAGCTGTTTAATATTTACCCCTTCAAGTGTATCCCTGAGCTGTTTAATATTTACCCCTTCAAGTGTATCCCTGAGCTTGTTTAATATTTACCCTTCTGTGAGCTGTCCCTGAGCTGTTTAATATTTATTAGAGTGTGCCCCTTCAAGTGTATCCCTGAGCTGTTTAATATTTACCCCTTCAAGTGTATCCCTGAGCTGTTTAATATTTACCCCTTCAAGTGTATCCCTGAGCTGTTTAATATTTACCCTTCAAGTGTTGTATTCCCTGAGCTGTTGTGTTTAATAGTCCCTTCAAGTGTATCCCTGAGCTGTTTAATATTTACCCTTCAAGTGTATCCTGAGCTGTTTAATATTTACCCCTTCAAGTGTATCCCTGAGCTGTTTAATATTTACTCTTAGTATCTGAGCTGTTTAAATATTTACCCTTCAAGTGTATCCCTGAGCTGTTTAATATTTACCCTTCAAGTGTATCCCTGAGCTGTTTAATATTTACCCCTTCAAGTGTATCCCTGAGCTGTTTAATATTTACCCCTTCAAGTGTATCCCTGAGCTGTTTAATATTTACCCCTTCAAGTGTATCCCTGAGCTGTTTAATATTTACCTCTTCAAGTGTATCCCTGAGCCGTTTAATATTTACCTCTTCAAGTGTATCCCTGAGCTGTTTAATATTTACCCCTTCAAGTGTATCCCTGAGCTGTTTAATATTTACCCCTTCAAGTGTATCCCTGAGCTGTTTAATATTTACCCCTTCAAGTGTATCCCTGAGCTGTTTAATATTTATCCCTTCAAGTGTATCCCTGAGCTGTTTAATATTTACCTCTTCATTCAATCCTTTCAATAACTCATGAATCTCTTATTCCTTGTGGATGTATTTTATATGAATTTTTTATCCTTTCATTGTAAAGACAGAAATAATGTGGATTTAATAAAATTTTGTTTTGATAGGAGATGGACAGATGCATTGTGTTAGAAAATCCATTGAAGTTAGTCAATCTTGGCATCTCACATATTGTTTCCTAGTACTTTACATGCTACTGTTGTTATTTTTTGAGTGGTGATTTTCCATTTTGATTGACTCATATGCTAATCCCCAGTCATTAAGGGAAACTTTTGTTCATCCATATTTCTGCTGAACAAGATTTTTTTAGGGTATTTTAGGTCTTATTACATGGCTCTCAAAACACTCTGGGATGAAAATGTCAGGGCCAAGGTTTTTATGAGCAGGAGTTTAGATAGTTTGGTTATTTAAAACACTTGAGTGATTTGGGGTTTAATTGGGGTCTGGTTATAATCCACTTCCAAAATTCTCATTCTTCCCTTCTCTATTCTGACCTAGTTTGATTTCTGAACCTTGTATACAACACAGTCCTGCTCATCATTGTTACTTTTACTCTCTCTGCCATTGATCGGCTCATTAGCTGCTTGGGCAGTCGGTCATGTCTCTGTTACACTGTTGTTTAGTATTGGACATGTACTGGCTCAAGAATGTATCTGTCTGTGCCAGTGTTGGTCAAATCTGCCCTTGAATGAGCTCACATTTAGTGCCGTCACAACATTGGCAGATGTTCCAAGAGTTTACATTTCTCACTCCAAACAAAGTTTGCCCTGACAATGTTCTGAACTAGTGGCAGGCATCCTCCTCTAGCTCCAGGCGCATTTTTTGGTAACGATTTAGAGCCCAGTTTGCACGTCACCATCATGAGGGACAAAAAGAACTCCTCATCTACTTACAATTGCTATTGTTTAAGGGTTAATGCACACCTTGATAACTATTTGGCTAAATGTGACTCCTCCTTTTACACCAATTAATATGCACTAACACAAGTGATATGTGATAAGGCAAGCCAAGTTGAGTGGTGGTGGACTGTGGAAAAATTTCCTGTTTAGTTCAGCTCTCCACCAGCACAATTCTGAGTGAGTGAACTAAGGTAGGGATGGACTGAGTCGGCAGCAATATACTGCCATGTACGTGTAAACCTCATCCCAGTAAAAATGAAACTTTGGTGGTAAAATGTAAACCACTTAATGCAGATCCAGTACCTGTGAGGTCTGTATAAATAAGGGACAACCTGTGTAATATTGTACAGTAGTAAAGGATGCACACTGGTCAGTGGTTAAAAACATGTGATTTGCTAATTTAAATTTTCAACAGAATTGGGAGTATGGAGTACTGGGTTTTTATGAGGTCTTCAAGCATCCAGATATGATGTGTGGTTGGCTGACTGGTCCTGCAGCTTTAATGATGGAACAAACTCCCAAGGAAGAGGTAGCAAAGCGTTGTGCAGCCATGTTACGAGAACGTCTGTCACACAAGTTTAAAGTGCCAGATGTGATTTGGTGCACAAGGTGAGATTCACTTTGTTAATGTGTTTATTATCTTTATTGAATCTGATGGAAGAAAATTGTTTAGAATTAAAGAAGATAAAAAATTTCCTTATGAATTATAAAGTACAGTACAAGTGACATGTTTCATGCTGGCACGGTATACGCAAACTTTAGAGGCTTATACTGGGTGCATTGAATGACTGAGTGGTTGTACAGTAATTTGATTTGACATGTATAGTTGGCAAAATATTTTCTCGGACAGCTTGGCCCAACAGATTTCAGAATGAGCACTACCGGGTATGGCTTTTATCAGAATGGTTGGTTTGCCTGGTTTTGAAGTGACTCAATATTTTGTAATATATGTAGCATGTTTTTAGTACAGTATAGTCTCATTTTACGCGGATTTTTTATACACCGTTGGTCATATACGCGGCACCTGTCTAGACGCGCCAATTATTAGTTACCGTATATCTCGGCGTATAAGACGGAATTTGAACCTTAAAAAATCAGCCCAAAGATAGGGGGTCGTCTTAATCACCAGGTATAAAATTCTTACCTCTTAATTATTGTGGTTTAGCGTGTCAAGAGTGGAGATGGAAACATCGTAAACCACTCGCAAGGTCCTACCACTAATTATTTTATACTGAAACTTACGTTTGGGAAGCTGGATTAAAATTAAGATTACCAGTATATTAAAATAATAAAAATGTATTATAAACCTGTCTAACATACCGTAAAAGAACAATATACCCTGGTAATAAACACAGCTGCTATTATCACCCCCCCCATTTGCCAGTGACAAGAAAGGGAAAGTGACTTGACTGTGACCGCCTGTGGCTATTTTTAGCCGTCTTGTGTTCGAGGTGGTCAGTAATGCATATCTGTATATTTACTGATCATAATACTTATCTCCTATAAATAATTAATTTAAAATATATTTTTTTAAAAAGAATATTCAGTAAATGGCTGCGTTAATTCTTGAAACTACCGACAGTGGTAAATTTAGGATGAGCATGATGAACACGAAGTCACGTCATCAGATTCGGAGTTTCTTCCTTAATGTTCACCATAAATGTATCAGGTCAACTTCACCTACCGGGTATAGCCTCCCTTTTTCGCGAAACAAGTTTATAAATTAAAGAAAATACTTGCAGTGTGTTTAATATATTACAGTATGTTATAAATAAATAAACAAACAAATAAATCGGTAAATCTATTTCAAGTAAATGGAAATATTTTACTCACACCGACATTAGTTCCAGTTAAATAACAAGACGCTTAAGTGAGTCACTAGTGTTTACACTACTGTACACCAGCTGGTAAAATTTGATGCCAATATTTTAAATAACCAACCATAAATAAATGCAAAAAGGAAAAAAAGATCAAAGGTGAGAAACATTATATTGTATGTATGTTGTGTTGTCAAAGGAAGAGAAACAATTGAAACTCTGCAATTGTGTGTAAATGAGGCAGAAAGATAGATCAGCAACCTAAGACTTGGTCACAATTTTTGTGATGCCATATGGAAGTAGGATCTACCATTAGACAATACTGTACATTATGCTTCCAATATCTTCCCAGGCGGTAGTATCTCCCTGTTTGGTAGCTGCCTAAAATTTTTAGTAATATTACTTTGATACAACATGATAAATTAGACAAACAATGAAAATAAACAAACAAAAGTTATTTACCAAGACCTTCTCTCTGAGAACAGAGGGATGGAGGGGGAGGGGAGATAAGACGGTTATTTATAGCCCGTCTTTGTGTAGGAAGTCGACCACACTATAAATAATTCATTTAAAATTTATATTTTTTACATAGAATATTCAGTACATGACTGCGATTATAAAATATTGTGTGTATATATATATTGTGTGTGTGTGTGTGTGCGTGTGCGTGTGCGTGTGCGTGCGTGCGTGATAAATGTATTTAGTAAGTATGTACAGTAATCATTTTCACTCAAATCCTAATGAAACACTATTGAATTAGAATACTGTAGCTGGTGTAAACAGTCGGAACAGTCCCACCACCGATTGTCTCGTGAAGCAAGCTTATAAATTAAAGAAAATGCTTGCAGTGTGTTTAATATATTACAGTATGTTATAAATAAATAAATAAACAAATAAATCGGTAAATCCATTTCAAGTAAATGAAACAATTAAAATAGAGACCGGGCCGACCCCCAAACTCCACTTTATCAGACACAATACCTACGTTGTAGTAAAAATAACTTCTTAATTTTATGATTGTATGCACACACAATTAATAATTAAGAGAAATATCAATAATATTAGGTTTTTTAACACTTACATTAGTAGAAAAGATGGCTGGGCACACGGGGATGGGGGGTTGGTTCCGAGGCAGAGGGCAGATTATTGGCCCTCGCCTGTATCACTTGTGTCAATTGTATCACTGTCCACCACAGAGGCTTGCAGGGCCTCTTTGTCAAACCCCTCAAAGTCCATATAAGTCCATATCCTCACTATCATTATCACTATCACTGACTTGGGCCGGCTGTGGTGGGTGGCGGGTGAAGAACTCGGTAATGTTTTGATGACTGGGCGACCTTGTGTGCACCCTGCTCGCGCCGCTCTCTGCGTAAAAGGGTACACACACCGCGAAAAGTGAGCATTCTGTGTTTGGCAGGGTACCGCGTAAATGTGGAAACGCGTAAAGTGGGACCGCGTAAAGCGAGGGTTGACTGTATAAAACTTCTTTCAGAGAGCAGTGTTCAGATTTCTCATTTGTTTTGTTAATGTATTATGCTTAGAGCATTCGAGAACTTCCTCTGCTGACTGTACATGTCAAATATGATGGTATTAATAGGTAAATTAGTCATGTTATGAATAGAAAAAAAAGTAAGGGTTATTAAGTATTTCGAGGCATTTCACCACCCATCCAACATAATTTTATTATCTGAACCCTGTGTCAAACATAATAGCTTCCTTTATTTATCTTTTAGCCACTGAAACTAGAGGTGGCCATGTCGAGGGAAGGAGACCAGTGGGCTGTACGGGATCCCTCCATTGTTCTTGATAGTCTTTTATAGGGTTATTTTGAAGCTTAGTACTGTTTCAATTCCACAGCTTGAGCTACATTAGTAGACTGTTACATAGGTTTACCACCCTCTCTGTGAAGAAGTATTTACTTGTGTTCATTCTGCATGGAAAATGCAAGTAAATTATCTCTAGTGTTAGGTAGGTAATCATTATAAAAAAAATAAAAATTTCATATGGGAACGTTTCTTCAAGAAAAAATATCATTATGCTTAAGAAAAATGTTTATACATGACATTATACATCTGCTAAGAACATGAAATTTGTTTCTAGGTAATCCTTATATATTTAGCACCAAATAACTAAAGAAGAACAGTTGTGAAAAAATAAGTGCATACAGTGGAGTTGCAATAATGTGCAAACTACAAATTTGCATTCTTAAATTCACCGGTACTGTAAGTCCTTGCTAGACATTGTCCCAGACAATGTTGTTTCGCTATAACGATGCTGCTCTTTAGATACCCATGATCCCAACCCGTCCAATTCGTTATAACGTTGACCCTAACGTTGTCACCCAGCACGGACTACTTAATGTGTCACTCAGAATATGGACTCTTGCCGCACGGCTCTCTCTGAGCGCATCACGGCATCCACAAGCACTTTGTTCTTAGTCTTTCTTATGTTTATACAGTCTATGGACATGTTTAAATGTTTTTACTGCAAATCACTATACAGGACTATAACTTTGTTTGTCTTCTCTTCAAAAGCTCTTCATGGGGATCAAATCCATGGATCAAAGGATCATATAGTTTATGCACCATGAAGACAGAAGCTATGGGTGTCAAGGCTGCTGACTTGGCTGAACCTCTAATTGATTCAAATAATGTTCCAGTAAGTAATCTTGTATGTGGAAAGAATGGTTACAACTTGTGTAAATGTAATTAAAGCAGTTTGTGTGAGAATAAGATGAAGGTACAGCGAAGGAGAGAATTAAGGGGGGATGTGCAAGATTAGTTAATATAAGAGAAGCTCTATAGGTACAACAAAGCATTAGTGAATGAGTCATTGGATGTGGTACATTCCTTGAACAAAAAATAGTTGTAGCTAGACTTGCTTTGATGTGCAAAATTCCTACTAATCTCCTACATAGACATTTTGATACACTTATTCCAAAATTTTAATCAGTTCATAAAGTCATTTCTGGTGGCTATTGTTTGAGTCAAGTTTTTAAGTGGCTAATATTGTATAACTTGTTTCATATGTCTGTTATTAAAAGATAAGGCTTCAGCTGTCTCTCCTCTTAAAATATAGAATATACAGTACCTCTACTCCAGTTAACACAGGTCTTCCTATTAGTGCAGAACAGACTGACCATGATTTACAAAAGGGTTGTCTTCCTGAAGAACTTTTCATTAAAAATTTTCTTTGTAAAAGCACGGTACAGTATTTTGTCTCCCAATGACTTTCATTTTAAAATGGGAAACATGATCCAAAGAAATAAAATCTTCCTCAAAATTTACTAAAATGTTAATGAAGGCCTATTTAAGGACATTTATTGTGGTAAACAGAATGTAAACCATAAGAATCTGTACAGTAATAATAGTCGTAGTACAGAATTAGCTGTAATTAGTTCATTTAACCTAAATTAAAATGTGTTCCCTTACATTTGGTGTACGAAGGAGTTATTACTCACTTATGCAGTCATGAAGGAGTTATTACTCATGTATGCAGTCATTATCACCATCATTGTTAATCTCCTCTTGTGGTACTCTGATACACCAAGTACTGTATCACAATTACTTTCACAAATGTTATAAATTTCTGGTTCCCTAATCTATACGGTAGTGTGCTTAAATAACTCGGTTAACATTTGCTGTCTCAAAAATGATTTTGTAAGATGTAAAACCCTTTTTTCATTAATTTTTGTCCATGTTTGTAAATTATTTTCTGAAATTATTACACAAACTCTTCAGGAACATGGCTGCACACACCAAGGGTCTAGACTAATCTGTACAGTATACTGGCCTGGGTTATCACAGGATGCCCTAAGATACCTGTAATTTTTTGTAATTTTGGGATTTTTTTTTTTTTAATGGGGCCTGCCTGTACTTGTTTTTGTGAACTTTATTTTTGTTGAAATTATTGAGTTGCTTCAAATGGAAATATGAATTAAAATTGGCAATATTTTTTTCATTTTTCAGCTTGTTTGCTTTGCTGGAGAAGCAACCCATGATTGCTATTATTCTACTGTCCATGGTGCTCTGGAAACTGGTTGGAGAGAAGCTGACAGACTTGTAAAATACTTAAAAAGGTGACTATTTTTCTCCTTCATTCAAATGGTGCATTTAATTTACAAAATGATCACTGGTGGTTCTTGCATAATATTCCCCAAATCATTAATATTTTGTTTTTGTTGTAAAAATTTGTATAATTATAGAAATTGATTACTGAAAAGTAAGACAATCTGACACTGGAGCTTTTTTATTATACAGTCAACCCTCACTTTACGCGGTCCCACATTCCGCGTTTCCACGTTTACGCGGTGCCCTGCCGGAACCCAGGGTGCTCACATTCCGCGGTGCGTGTACCCCTTTACGTGGAGAACGGCTGGCTAGCCGCGCCATTTTTTGATCCAAACCTCCCGCTATCTCTCCTGCCCTCTCCCGCCATCCGCCATGTTGTGTAAGCGGCACGAGCATGGTGCGCACGAGGTCGCCCAGTCATCAAAACATTACCAGTTCTTCACCCGCCACCCACCACAGCCGGCCCAAGTCAGTGATCGTGATAATTATAGTGAGGATATGGACTTATATGGACTTTGAGGGGTTTGACAAAAAGGCCCTGCAAGCCTCTGTGGTGGATAGTGATACAATTGATACAGGTGAGGGCCAATAATCTGCCCTCTGCCTCGGAACCAACCGCCCATCCCGTGTGCCCAGCCATCTTTTCTACTAATGTACCGTATATCACGGCCTATAAGGCGGCGGGGTGCATAAGACGCCCCCCCCAAATTTCCATTTAAAAAGTAGCTTTTGAGCTCTATTTGCTGTATAAGACCAGTACCCCAAATGTGACACTTACCCACTGACTCAGTAGTCCTTTACCAACCATCCTTGATTTTTTAAAATAAGGCCAATTCACTTCAAGTAATGTCATCAAATTATACCCGCTGGTGTAGTGTAAACACTAGTGACGTCACTGAAGCGTGGTGGGAGTGTTCCCTCGTCTCGGTGGTGTGACTATTTATACAACATGTGGTTCAACAGCAACCACCGTATTCTAATTGTGGTGTTTCATTAGGATTTGAGTGAAAAAGGTTACCAGTATGTACTTACTACATACATTTATTACACAAATATATATATATATATATATATATATATATATATATATATATATATATATATATATATATATATATATATATATATATATATATATATATATATATATATATATATATATATATATATATATATATATATATATATATATATATATACTGAATATACTATGTACAAAAAATGAATGTTCAATGAATTATTTATGGTGCATTAGGGTACTGGTCACTTCTGATGGGCTATAAATAGCCTTCTTTATCTCCCCTACATCTCACCCTGAGCCAGACGGAAGGGTCTTGGTAAATAACATGTTTGCTTATTTTCCATTTACTTTAAATAGATTTACCGAATTATTTGTTTTATTTATTTATTTATAATATACTGTAATATATTAAACACACTGTAATTATTTTCTTTAATTTATAAACTGTTTTGCGACAAAGGAATGTTCTCCAGTAGTGTTTCATTAGGATTTGAGTGAAAAAATATTACGTACTTACACAATTGTTCCTCTTACTTTGACAACACAACATACATACAGTATATTATTTCTCAGTTTTGATCTTTTTTTTTAATTTTTGTATTTATTTATAGTTAGTTACTTAAAATAAGGCCAATTCACTTCAAGTAATGGCATCAAATATTACCAGCTGGTGTAGTGTAAACACTAGTGACGTCACTTGAGCGTCTGTAATTAACCGTCGATAGTTTCAAGAATTAATGCACTCATTTACTGAATATTCTTTGGAAAAAAATAAAATTTAAATCAATTATTTATAGGAGATAAATATTATTATGAGTAAATATACCGATACCGGTATGCATTACTGACCACCTCCACGGCTCCTCACTGGCAAATGGGGGGGGGGCGTGGGGAGGGGTGTGTGATGATAGCTGTGTTTATTATAGGGGTATAAATCTCTTTTACGGTATGTTAGACAGGTTTATAATACATTTTTATTATTTTAATATACCGGTAATCTTAATTTGAATCCAGCTTGCCAAACGTAAGTTTCAGTATAAAATAATTAGTGGTAAGACCTTGTGAGTGGCTTACGATGTTTTCATCACCACTCTTGACACACTAAACCACAATATTTAAGAGGTAAGAATTTTAAACTTGGTGGTTTAGACGACCCCCTAACTTTGGGCAGATTTTTTTAATGTTCAAATTTCGTCTTATAGGCCGTGATATACGGTAAGTGTTAAAAAACCTAATATTATTGATATTTCTCGTAATTATTAATTGTGTGTGCATACAATCATAAAGTTAAGATAGTATTTTTACTACAACATAGTTGTGTGTCGTCAAAAAGTGGAGTTTGGGGGTCGGCCCGTTCTCTATTTCAATTAATCCCATATGTTATGTTGTTCACTTTACGCGTTTCTCACTTTCCGCGGTACCCTGTGGGTTATATTAACCGCGTAAAGTGAGGGTTGACTGTAGTTTAATTTGTCATTGCCACCAATTACCAGCTTATTGGCCATTTGAACAGTTGGTCTGTTCTTTGTTACAAAGTTCATTGTCCAATGTTAGTAAGTACTGGAGGAAACTGGAATAGCACAGTCCAGAAAATGTGAGCCCTAAAAAAAATTAATCTTTTGGGGTCTGGACATAACCCTGCTTATCGGTATTGTTTCCGGAAAATGAGACATAAGTCTGGTTGTCAAGAACTGTTCTAACTTGTATGACGATTATGTACTGTAAAGTGTTTACCTGTAGTATAACTATTAGAAGGCTTCTCCATGTGTACTGGCTAGGAGTGTCACCAACCAGGGCTGCCCAATAATCCTTATGACAAGTCAGATAAAATCACGAGTCCCTCGTGATAATTTTGACTTGTGAAAGTGAACATAGACCTTGTAAATAGATCCTACTCTTTTGAAAGGTTTTATGTTGAACAATTTTTTAATCTGTATGAGAATGCATTGCATGAATATTGATTAATACTCATCAGCTGACTCACCAATACAGGAAAAGATGGTGCGTGTGTGTATAGTAATTAACCCTGGAAGCCCAGGTGATGTTCCTCTACGTCCACCATAGCGACCCCGGGTGATGTTCCTTAATTTTTTCGAAATAGTTTGAGTGTCCAGGCGGGACGAAATACTTTGTATAGGATATTTATTTACCTGGTAACCTAACTCCCATGTAATCTTAGTCTAGTCTAGTCTAGTGGTCCAGTTACCCACCAGCTCTCATGAGGGATGCATGTCCTTCAATGTCTCGTGACCCGCCTCGCTCCTCCACACACTTGACAGTAGTACTGTTCATCAAGAGTTTCTTAATTTGAGTGACACTGATGTAGTATTGGGTGATAAAAAAGGGGGATGGGAAGTAAATAGACCTAGAGGATGTAGAGTTTGTTGAGGCAGCCAGCAGTGAGGACAGTAATACAGACAATGGTGCTCACTCCCCTCCCCACCAGCCACCCTCTCAGAAAGGTTGTGGTCGTGATGGGCGTGGACATAGGGGGACCATGTGCACACCATGTACAATAGTACGCTTGGAGTGACTGCACTAATTTTACATCTTTTTTCATTATAGGAAATACAACAAAGCCTAGGATACCCTTTGTTGCCCAAATGGTGAAGTCGTAGCGAGGTTCTGGGTTCGATTCCTGACGAGTGCCATGCTCTTCATTTTTCATATTTTTTACTGTTTTATATTATTTTCTTTATTTCTGAGCCACATAGTTTGTACAGTGGTCCCTCGATTAACTAACACAATTCATTCCAGAAGGTTGTTCGTTAACTGAAAATTTCGTTAACCGAAACCATTGTTTCAATGGGAATTTGGGTAATTGGTTCCAGCTCACCGAAAATTACATACAAAGTAAAAATAAATGCAGTAAAGTACACTTGCCTTGAGGTGTGTATGTAGAAGGCTCCTGGTTGATGATGATGTGAATTAAAAGTGGGGGTGGAGGAGAAGGGAGAAGAGAAGGAAGTGAGGGTGGAAGAGAAATCACCCCATGCTTCATGCCGTCAAATAACCCATAAAATTTTAAGTTCACTGGGTGTAATTCAAGATTATTTTCTTTAAATCAACACTGCACTGCACTATATATTGTCAATATGTAAAATAGATTTCAGAATGACGAATAATTGTACTGTAAAAACATAAAAATAGTTTATGTTCAAAAGAGTCACAAGCAAGATGTTACCTCCACTGACCAGAGATACAAACTGACACCTGTTTGGTGAGTTGAGTGGCTGTTTGGCGCACTAAAAACTAGTTTCATGTACTTCAATTATGTTCAATAATTGTTAAAATTACTAAAAATTTTAATATAAAACTTTTAAAATATTGAATAGTACAACCTTCTTGATATTTACTCAAATGGGAACGAATTTAAGCCCTAGATCCGATTACTGTATTGGCGGACTAATATTCCAGCTGGTGAGCAAGCGAAAACACGTAAGGAATTCGTTAATCGAATTTTTTTTGTTAACCGAATTGAATATTCTTATGGAAGGTAATTCGTGAACCGAAATTTCGTTAAACGAGGCGTTCGTTAACTGAGGGACCACTGTATAGAGTAGAATAATTGTTAAAGAAGTCCATTTATCGGAGACACGCACCACCTGGAGTCAGCTGGCACGGCTATCATGGGGAGAGATGTGCAGATTGCCATCTCTTAAGGTAATGTACCAAAGTTAAACAGTATTTTATTATTTTTTTCATAGTAGGTAGTAAATTGAAGTAACTGTGTACTATTTATTATTAGTTAGGTAGCTAATGATCTTGTTTGTAAACCGATTTCATAATTTTTGTGGTATGATATTGGGGTATTTTTGTCATTGGGGAACTGAACCCTATTTTTTCCCATATGTTTATCTATTTGTGATACATAAATTTACCTGACAAATGTTTTGGGGGAATCTAACCCATTTGTATCTTGAGGGATATCTGTATACTGTATATAGTAGACAGTGGAGTCCCAATAATTTGCAGGTTAGGTACCAG